CACCGAATATGCATGTTTTCAAATTTATGAGTGCAGGGCTACTTAGATGTTGGAGTAATTCAAGCAGAAAAACGCTAAGCCCATCGGAGATTTTGTCTGTTTTCGGTAATTTATGCAAAACCTACAAAGGCAAGCAGAATGGTTTACTGTTAAAGGCAGGTAATTGCATATTTTTCTAGGGCGAATTTTGCAAGATTTGAGTAAGACATCAGGGGAAATGTGGCTGACCACATTGAGGGATTTTATTACTTATACACTTTGGGTGGCAAGATAAATTTGAGCTTCAAGATGTCACAAAGGTTTGATGTTCGGCTGAAACAGCAACTTTCGAATTTTCGCGAATTGGTAGCAAAGATAGGACCTCATCAAAATGTGAATTTCGTAAATTTAGGCTTGTTCAAAATGTGAATAAGTAAATTCATGAGGACAAGACGTTTTTTTGAAGAATTCAATCCATTATTGGAATGAAATTGGCTTTCGGTATTTTTTGTATCCATTTTCATGACCCTTGAGTCCCCAATTCTACGGCTCCAAAACTAAATTTCTGCTAGCAATCCAACCAAAAAGCCCCCAACGGCGCATATATCCCGAAATAATAGGTTTATACGGGATTAAGATATTCAGGTCCATTAGGTCATGACCGGGCGATCCATTAATTCTGACTTACATGAAAAACCCCGATATCCGCGAATGTCATACGGGTGAAAGATCCCTAAGGCAATCGAGTCTCAAAGAAAAACGAAAAGAATGACTATTTAGTGCATTTGTCATATGATTAGATGAATAATCCTATCAAGAGGTCCCATATATTTACTTCATGATCAATAGTCTCTCCTTATACTCACTTCCTAGTCTCATGGTAAAGCCAAAAAACCATACATGACTGATAGGACTACATTAAATCCAAGCAGATAACTCTTACCTGGAATGAGCATAGTAAATTCTCATCGACATTCATCACCGCTCCAGCGTTATCGAATTCACCACAATAATTAGGCGCTGAGAACACTGTGACTAAACCACGTCGACCAAAGAACTCATAACCATCTTCGACAACCTGAAAAGAGAGCAATTGGGTTTAGGTTTACTAGAAGGATTTCTTTAGGTCTTGGAGATTTCTTGTATGAAAAAGTTGTCATTGATAGTTCTTGTTCTTAATTATTTCACTTTATTTGGGCGAACTAGAAACTCTCATATACTTCTGAAAAAGGGCAGTTTTATTTCTTAAAGTTGAGGAAACAAGATTCCGAAGTTTGGTCAACTAAGGAGGAAATTTATGTGACACAATTTCTCTTATATTCCAGAAATAATACCCCTGGATTTCACATATATCAATCTACCGTATACTTAAAAATTAAAAGCTGTTAAAAACATTTAATTTTCGAATACACAATGAGTTCTGCAGAA